TAGAGTCAGCTATATCCAATAACAGACCACACTTGAATCATTGGGCAACGAATCTTCACCCTATCCAGTACTGTCCGGTGAGAGATATGTACAATTTCCATCATATGCATTGTCCTAAACCTATCGGAAGGGAAGTTACGCCTAGGGAACGTCCCTTGATAAAGTGCAAAGAGAACAGTGGCTCCTATCATTGGGACAAAGACATTCAGCTGGAATGGTATAAGTGTATGAAGGAAGACACATTTGCACAGGGAGCGTTAGACTCGGTATACACCGTGGATATATTATTTATTCCTACTGATATCTGTTGGTCTCAAAAGGTACCTGTACAGGACCAGGAAGACGTTGTTTAAGAAAGATAGCTACTATACTCAATCTTGTCAGGAGAGTGCGATTGACAACGTTCTCCAAATGTAACCTGTCAAAGCGTCCAGTACGATATCTGGTTGGTAGTCTGTTTATATTTATTACATATACATGTATTAGAGACCCGAGTCTGTGAAGTCTGTGATAAACCCAAGACTGGCGTGGATGACTCGTGGTAAGTAGGAGAAAAAATATCGAGTGAATTGGATTAGATTACGACTGAACACGCAATATCCTGTTATATCGTGTTTTCAATTGATAGGAATTGTTATGCGTAGCGGTATCCATTTGGATTCTGCTGCCTGCGTTTCTCCAGCTTTCATTCTGTCACTGGAATCGACAACTCACATTAACTTTATCATTGAGACACAGTTCATTTTTGTATCGTCATTTATAAATTAAATTTTATTTTATTTACATATCTGTGGAACACTAACGCTTTTGTTGGAGTTCAAATTTTGAGGAATTGGTTTAGAGACCCGCATTTCTTTGTACGATGGAAGGAAGTGTACCACGTGTAAATTATGAAAACTGCAAAATGTTTGAGGATTACGTCTGCAAGCACATACTAAAATTGACATTGCTTGTTCATCTTTTTCTCAGCCTTCTTTCATTTTCGTGCTTTATTTTGCTAGATAAAATACAGCATGATCCAAATGAATAGCATTCTCGTTATCAACAAATAAAATAAAAGTCAATGCCATTCTAAAAGATTACAATAACGCGATTGTGACGTCACATAGCATAACCCTAACAACGTACTTACTCGCAATTGTTCAACAGGAAATGAAGAAATACATACCGTGATATATAGTGCGGTAATGATGTCATGACTATATATATGATATGACAATATGTACAACAATAAAGTATGCATTGTTAAACCAGACGACAGTCTATGACAGGGACATTATCATGTTCACATAAGGTTGATATCTGTAATATGAGAAGCGAAGTCATAGACTCTCATTTCTTTCGAAAACTGAATTTCTTTCCTCACTAATGTTATACAGTGTACATGTTGTAATATATTTTTTCGCTGAAATCGCTGTTATTTTTTATAACGATTCAACATTTGTATATATTTTGTTTAAATATCTATGTGCTCGTTTCCTAAGATATTATATCACAATAATTCATTGTGTCATGTCTCGCCTGTTTTTTTCGTAACTTTTATCTTTATACAGCTGGAAACGTTAATGAAAATTGATTTACAATGTGTCAGTGTGTATTGAATCAACCTGATATCACATTGTAAATAAGAAAATGAAAATAGCTGTGATTCTCAGTTTTATCAAACAAAACGTGCAATGTCGTGGAATTTATCTATAATCACGACTGTGTGATACAAAAAGAACAAGATACAAATGTAATACCGCAGAATCAACAAAACCACATTTCAAAATCAAAATTGGTAAAACTAGGGCAAAACATAAACAAAGTAAAGAATCACTTGAAGATCCTTGAAAAGGTACAAGTAGAAAAAGATCCGGGTAAACGTGGTCTGCTTCATCGACGAAACCCGCTATGTACATCTAGGTCAAATCCAAGTCATGTCACTTCCTTACATGGAGAACTCAGGTAGTGACAACACAACCATCAGGCACATTAATTTAATGAGCAATTTTGGCAACACTTTGTTAGTTCGTCAATTAGCAGTCGACATTGCGAAAGTAATAGGTCGGAGTAGGGGAAACAAAGATGTTACAATCAAGAAAGGGAAAGTTTCCGATTAGAAATTTCAAAATCGTCCCGCTTAATCGTCAGTCATCCATATTAGTCATGATGTGATCGAGGAGAGCGGCTGAAGCAGAATAGTATATAGTGTCATTGATTCAAGCTCAGGAGGGTATAATCGAATAGAAGGACTTGGCTTGTTTTTGTTAAGAGTCCTGATAAGCCCATCAATAATTTCAGCTTCGTATGAAAACAAAAACAAATCGGTCAGAAGAATGTCACAGTTTTTACCCCATAGGAATGCCTACGGTCTGCTGGGAAATCTTACCTCCGAACTCAACAAGGGTATTGTTAACCAGGAACTCAATTATTCTCACAATTTCGACCTCAGTATATTTCATTTTCGCCCTTGTTGTGTTTTTCACAATTATATGCCAAAATAATTTACGGTTCGCCTTTCTTGGAAAAGAACGTTCTCATAATGATAAAACGAAGATATTTTTTTATGTTTGGTATGAGGTATGTACGTATAAAGGGTCGAAAAGTCAAATATTTTGATAAAATAAGAAACATGTTTGAGAAGGGAATATTTCAGATTGACAAAAGATCTTTTGAATTCTTCAAAATCGAAATTTCCTTCATGACACATGTGTATACGATGCCACAATACGACTGTAACCCTGATTCAATTGTACTGAGGATGTCAGTGAGACGTTTGGATAACGGCGTGGTTGAACAACTAGAAGAACACGTGATACAACGTTGTTTATAAGGAGTTTTTGAAGTTTCTTTATCCAATACAAATGAGACAGGTCCGTATCCTTATCATAAATGGGTAATCGTATCCGTATACTCAAGATGTGGCATGAATGAAATGTCGATTTTGAAGAATTCAAAGGATCTTTTGATTGTAATACAGAAGCACGATAAGCTAATATATCGTCTTTCGAAATATCGGAAGATGTAAAGGTAATAGTGTTTGCAGACAAAGATTAGAATGTTAAATGTTTTGTCTGCAATCACAACTACAAACCTATCATGCAGATCGCTGAGCGTGGTTAGAACATCGGGGTCTAGAAATACAGACATGTGTCTTGTTTTTATTTAAGATACCCAAGCACCTATGTTTTTTAATGATGGACCTGATAGATTTTACCCTCTCTGAAAGTGAATCCAATTCAGCCTGCTCTCACGTTGCCCATTGTCTGGCGTAGAGTTACACATAGTCTATCAGTTTCTTGAAACTTACATTCTAGTTGCGAGTAGGTGTTTCTCGACACTTTGAACCCTTTATGAAATGCACTCATAGCTTATGGATAATATTTAGATCGCCAGGAATTTGAAGGAGGAGTTATGCTTAGGTAATCTAAATTCAACTGTTGTAGCGTTTGGTTGTAGTTGAAAAGTTTGAAAGCAATTTGAATAGAACAACTGTAAGAAATGACGGACTTGTGTAGTGTATTGACTATCACTCGAACTTGCTAAAACAGTTAAATGTGCCATATCCTCAATGCTCTTTAATTTTATGAAGCATCCAAGTTGTTAGTTTCCAAATGTCATCAGGAGCAAACTAAAATATACATTCAGAACATGATACCGAGCAAGACTGTGATTTAATTATTTAACATAATCAAGTACTGGCTCCCTATGTCTTTGATCGTTTTTGATCTACATAATTTGAGCGCCCGGTGTTCCGTCCTCGTCAATGAAATTGTTCATGATGTCTTGCCCATCTGTTTTTCCTGTCTCATCGATACCTGTTGTATTTTACTGAAGTCTCATCATTACCTGTTGTATTTTCCTGATGTCTCATCGGTACCTGTTGTATTTTTTTCTGACGTCTCATCGGTACTTATTGTATTTTTTTATGACGTCTCATCGGTACCTGTTGTATTTTTCTGACGCCTCATCTAAACCTGTTGTATTTTTTATGACGTCTCATCGGTACCTGTTGTATTTTTCTGACGTCTCATCGATGCCTGTTGTATTTTTTATGACGTCTCATCGGTACCTGTTGTATTTTTCTGACGTCTCATCGATGCCTGTTGTATTTTTTATGACGTCTCATCATTACCTGTTGTATTTTTCTGACGTCTCATCGATGCCTGTTGTATTTTTTATGACGTCTCATCATTACCTGTTGTATTTTCCTGATGTCTCATCGAAACCTGTTGTATTTTTTTCTGACGTCTCATCGATACCTGTTGTATTTTTTATGACGTCTCATCGGTACCTGTTGCATTTTTCTGACGTCTCATCGATGCCTGTTGTATTTTTTTCTGATGTCTCATTGATGCCTGTTGTTTTTCCTGATGTCTCATCCGTACCTGTTCGATTTTCCTTATGTCTCAGCGCTATTTGTTCGATTTTCCTAATGTCTCATCGGTACATGTTACATTTTGCTGAAGTTTCAGCGATACCTGTTGTATTTTTCTAATGTCTGATCGGGATTTTTTTTGGATTTTTTCCTGATCTCTTATCGGTGCCTGCCTGTTGTATTTTCCTAATATCTCATCGGGAGTTTTTTTTTATATTTGCCTGATCCTTAATCGGTGTATTTTGCTGATGTCTCATCGGTACTCGCTCTATTTCCGTATCGGTTACGAGTTCCAATATTGTCCCTGTTTGTTGATGGTTTTTGTTGTTGTTTACTTTTAGGACAAACGTATCTATTTCATGCTGCTATGATAGAATATATAAAATGAAAACAGAGACGGTCTTAAGTTTGGCAATATTTTATTCAATTGTACTATTAAGTGAGCACATTTGAATCAATGATCATAGTTCAATTTATACAAAAATAAACAATGTATTATCAACATACTGCATTATATTTGAAACAACGACAACGAGTAAAGTGAAAGTTGTGACATAAGTGGCAATCCAATTGATGCTTTATATATAGTTATATACAATTGAAATATACTGATATATACTTTATATATATATTGACATATACTTTATATATACCTACATATAATTTATATATATCTATCTATATATACCGTATATATACTATATATTTACTTATATCACATGAATTAATCTCGGGTAACATGACTGACTACGCTACTTTACACACCATGAATTGATGTACGTATAATATATAATTGCATAACACACGTACATCGTTCATGTGTTTTTTTTGTATTTCTCCACCCCAGGAACATAAGACACATTTATCATAATGTATGCATTTCTCAATCTCAATCGCAAATTTCAAAAACTTTATGTACGTAAACACGCGAAACATCTTTGATCTCAGATTTATTTCATAAGAAAATGACCTTTTGATGAAATTCTATTACAATTTAATATTATTCAATGGCTTTAAAAGCTAACATCATGATACTGTCTACTACTTTACCAAGAATCACTTCAAACAAATAGAAATTATACATTTCTCCGCAATTTACTAGCAAAAGTTTAACATTATTGCTAATATCATGACGTCACAATTGAAATTGGATCCATAATACCGATAACAATAGCGCTTTATCAATCCACACACACACGGTACACATGACAAAATATCACGTGATATAACAATATATATTTTATATTATTCACAATCTAATTTTGAGGTAAAACCTTACCTGATAACTACTTAACCATGCATACTTTTCAAATGAACATTTCTCAACATCCTTATGCGCATTTTCTCATATAATAGTATAGAATTGGATTTAACCAACGTGCTGATGGATAGAACCTATGAAGTGTTACATTCTTCCCTAAAATCCTAACATTATTAGGTATTACAGTATTCTCCCTATATTAGCTTTTCCCACGTTTTGTCAGCATAGAATACTTTCCAAATAATCCTGATTTGTATTATCATTATAACATTATACTTTCCCTATATCCTCATATATATTTTCTATTTAATACAATACTTTCCAAATTCACCTGATGATATCAACTGAGTATTATACTTATTATCCTGATATGTCTTAACGTATCTGATTTATTATTGTATTAAAAATTCCCAATGCCTTTGAACGTGCAACCAAACATTATTGAATTAATACCTGCATACTTTTGAAGCATACACATTCACTACATTCTAAGAACAATTTCGATATTGGCCCCTTTTTTAACAGATAGAACGAAATCCTTACAAAAAATGAAGAAAACATCAATTTTATAACATATTCCAGCTCTTCAATAAACAGTTGTTATTGAAATTCAATGACCTATGCTAACGCATCATTTGCTTTAAAGAAACATTTCGAAGTCAATGAAAATCTCTTTTATGTTATCGTGTTAAATCTATTCTCGTTTTGAAATACCCAGGTTTAGTGAAAAGTTTTACAACCGGCATCTGCTACTTCTGAGAGATATAGCATGTATCATTTACAAAACAAAACTCATCATTTGAGTATTGCTACAACAGAGAAGCACCAACTTTCGTTGCGTTATCCGAACACTCCCACCAATAAAACAATCATTGCGCATAATCATTCAATATTACATTTATAAAGCCCTTTCTCTTTAACAATGTGACTTTCTACAAGAATCGGTAAACATTTACATTCCGTAAATCAATTTGTCGCGAACCATTTTGTTAAATGGGAAGAAAAATTATCGTGAAAGTTCAATGATTCCATTTGTTTAACAAATGAACGCTATATTTATTATATATTACATATATAATAATGTTAATCATAGATTCTTAAGATACTTTAATTAAAATACCAATGTAAAATACGACTGTGGAATGAATATATACACTTCATACATTGTATACTGTACACTGCTTCAGATCATACTGGATAATGCGCCAATGAATATCTATACATTGCTACAGAATCAATATCATGCTGTATAATATATCAAAGTATATCAATAACTTGCTAGAAAATACGTCAATGTCATACATTTGTAACAAATCCAATGTCGTAGAAGTATAATGACGTATATGCTCGTGTCATAGAAAAACAGTATAAATCAAAAACATAGACTAGGAAAATAACATTACGATGAATCCTGAGGATTAAAATATTCGACTCTAATATATTATATGCAAGTACATTTTCTATACTTGTAGCTGCAACCAAAGAATACCAATCACAATTTCAGATTTTCGTTTCCTTTTTGAAAAAAAAATTAAGTAGGCAAAACTAATTGAATAGTTTTTTCACAATAAAATGTTTAGGGTAATAAACCATGAAGGATAAAAACACATAATTATGGGACAAAATTATCTTTTTATGTACAAGACATGACACATGTAACCCTCTTGATTGACTCCAATTGTGAAAAATTGAACACGTTGACCCGATTATTCTAAAAAGGAAAATCCTATCACAAACAGTAACATTGCAAACTTTCTATATTCGAACGTATTTAATATTCTAGCGAATGATATAATGTGACATACCACAGGAAAACATCATGACGCACACATGTTTCATTTGCCGGAAATAGAAATCGGCAGGAGAATATCATTATCCCATTACATGCATACTAATGAGAACATTGGTCACTCAAAACTTGACAGATCAATGATTAACACAACTCTTAAGATAAAATACCTGTTTACAAATAAATAAATCAAAACAAAAAATAAAGATATCTTTTTAGCCCGTTTTCTTTTTGGAACGATACAACATGATTGATGTTAAAATAACAACTTTGAATTCTATTTCAACTTTTTTTGTACAAGAAAATATAATATCTGCAATAATGAAATGATGTTTCAACTATGTTTCGATACATGTATAAGAAAGTTGTTGTTGATTTTTTTGATTTTTTTTTTCAGACAATATGGTTGTTGTTGTTATTGTTAACTATAATGAATTTTTTGAAAGAAAGGCTGATTTTGTGGACAAGAAAGGGTTGTATCTGATATACACAGTTAAGAAGTATTTAGTATATACCTTCAAAACAAAGTGTTGCTTAAACACTGGTTTAAAAAAATGTTGCTTATGCATCGTTAAACAAAGTGTTGTTTATATACCGTTAAACAAAGTGTTGTTTATATACCATTAAAACAAAGTGTTGTGTTCCTTAATGATAAAACTAACCAACGTTGCGTTATTGTGAAAGAATTCAATTTTGATTTAGTGTTCAGTAAACAAACGAATTACAAATAGCATCACTAGAGTACAGCTTTGATGTAACGTGCACATTCAAATAGTTCATTCAAATAGTTTACAAAGCAATTATTGTTGAAGCGGATAAACCTGAGTCCTTAGGGCAGATAATTCTGTTCACCTTATGAATCTGATGTACGATATAGTTGTTCCTAGCAAATTGTAAGACTATTTATCCACCATTGTTGATAATGAAGTTGTCATCGTCCAGACTTCTATAGCCATGCATATTGAAAGTACATATACCTATGATGGTACAATCTTGTTTTTCATCAATCTTGTATTTTATCATGTATTAAGTGACATTTTATGACCTCTGTAAGCTTCAACATCACGTCCATTTCCTCGTAATTAATAGATAGCCTGGAGCTCTGAAAGAATCAATAAACAGGTATTGATCAGGAATTAACTTCCAGATGGACACTACAGCAATTGTCGTACTGACGTAGAACACGTGAAAGCCTGGCCTTGGTCGGACCACTCACAGTATGCGGCGATCTTCAGCTAGGTACCACCGTCTTAAATTAAACGTTTTAAATTAAACTATCACTAAATTATCACTTAAAAAGAACAAAATGAGTTATATATAGCCATTAAAGTCTTTGGGCTAGACATTACTAGGTTAGCAACTTATTTGATACTGTATTGTTTCATGAACAGAAATGACACCACGATCTTGTTAACAACAACGACATGTTAACATATAATGCTTTGGATACTATACACCTACTTGTACCAGTCCTTACTGTTTTATTCTGTATATAGACTATCGACCATCCGTTCTGAATACGAAACACCCATTTTGTCAGCAATATGTATATGATATATTGATGGTATTGCGTTTTCTTTATGGACGAAAGTTCACGATGATAGGACAACCTATGACACTGCGATTACTACTAATGAGTAATTCTGTCTTATGGTATGGTATATTACACAATCATTCACTTCTACGCTAGGTTAACTTACTACGGACAGCCCGTGTTGATTCCAATACCACTAAAGGATACAGCGGGGCACAGTGACGTAATCCAGTGCACGTCCATCAGAGACGTGGCGGGTCACACCCCGGGCCAGTATGAGAGATTGCACGAACGTAGTATGTCAATGTGAGAAAGTAGTGAATACAGAGAAGATTCGTGTATACACTGTAAAAATACCTATACAGCTTTATCTCGGATTCCTGTCTAGTTCCTATAAAGCTTTATCTCGGATTCCTGTCTAGTTTCTATACAGCTTTATGTCGGATTCCTGTCTAATTCCTATACAGCTTTATCTCGTGATTCCTGTCTAGTTCCTATACAGCTTTATATCGGGATTCCTGTCTAGTTCCTATACAGCTTTATCTCGGGATTCCTGTTTAGTTCCTATACAGCTTTATCTCGGATTCCTGTCTAGTTCCTATACAGCTTTTTCTCGGGATTCCTGTCTAGTTCCTAATCAGCTTTATCTCGGGATTCCTGTCTAGTTCCTATACAGCATAGGAACAGCTTTATCTTGGGATTCCTGTCTAGTTCCTATACCGCTTTTTCTAGGATTCCTGACTACTTTTAAGACATTCTATGTATGATGACACACTTCCAGATAAATACCACAGTATCGGAAATTGTTTTCCGAAAAAAAATGGGTTTTTTTTGTGTCATGATAATATCTTAACACAATACATGCAGTGGAGTTTACGAAGAGAATTAGGAGATTCACATTAAATTAAACAATCTTATTATTTAATTTTTCATTAACAATGTTTTCTTGGCATTCCCCAGAGATGACCATTACCACTGTGTAAACCTTGTTTGGAGAAACGTAAGAATTCGTTTGTCAAACAATAATAGTATATTAACAAAAATATTTAATTGATGTTTGTTTGATCTCATTTGATATAACTAACTACGATTGAATACAATCAATAAACTCTTAAATCCTGGAGTTATAAATATGTCCAATCTGGTATAGATAACCCAATAAGATCGTCAACTGTATATAAACCTATTTCACTGACAAGGTTTATACAAACTGAACACCTAACAAACAGATCGTTTTGCAAGAGTACATTTTTTAAAATTAAACTAAACAGTTTATCCAACTGGTTCAGAGGCCAACTGAACTGCTACAGGTGTATCAGAAGTCTATGAGAATATGTGTTTTGGCAAATCCGGCTCCATTGAAGTCTGGAAGAGAATAAAATATGATTATAGCAGGGTCCTAACATGAAAAATTACCATGAAGTACGGATAGGAATAGTCAGTAACGACATCTACATTTTCATCGTTTGCTAAAACAGTAGGCTGTTTAATATCTCTAAACATTCATTTCACTAGCTTATTTCTATGTCCGTCTTGTTAGTGACTCACCGAGTGACAGGTTATATCATAAATTTCGGATGACTTTAGGATAATTACACACGCATTTATACCATTTAATTCTATCTCGATTGAAATATTCAATCCAAGCGAATAGCGTAACTGAAAGAAGTGTCGACACACAATTAAGAGTTACAATAATTTGGTATTGTTTGGTATATAATCACCCAAATTATACCTGGATACTTACCACACAACTAAAAGTCGAAATCCCATCCCGACAGTTCATCTGGTGGCACGTCTATACTTTTAGGGTAACTATCAAAATTACTATAGTCTGTCGGGCCCCGCACCTAAATGAAATATTGTTATATTTGTTGCAAAACTATACATTACATAAGTCCGATGAAGGGAACATATCCTTTGCATGAACGTAAAATATCTATATTGACAACAGTTACATATCATAAACCTTTCAATGTGTAGTCCTTTTATGATATCCATTTTATGTTTCTAGTAATGAATTGTTTATTTTAACCGGAAATATGACTATCACGAGTAATTGATACTTTCTCGTAGGCTATTATCACCTCATTTACGATTGTGTTCCACTGAGTTCCTGTAATAGTGATTGACCCGATCTTATACTTTTTTTCTCAAGAAAGGGGACTATGATATCTTACCTTTGGAATGATAGAGGGCAGAATCTTCCTACTGTTTAAACTGTCCCAATCAAATCCCTGGAACCATCTGGAAAAAGGTAATTATAAACCAATATTTAGTAGTAAACGAACAACACTTTATGTTACCAAGGGTTGCGTACGCACATGTGCCATTTTCCTATTTTTCGTAATATATATCGGCACACTTCCGGTATGAATTTTCTTTGTCTTGACCTTTAGTACCACTACGTACGTCTAATAATTATTCTAAATATAGACCACATGAAAAAAGAAAATAATAATAATAATAATATAGGAAACTTGTGTTTTAAGTCCAATAAAGCAAATGTAAATAACACGAAGAAATATTTACTTGTGTTTTTTAATTTCTAATATCCCGTTCTTGCCGTATCCCAGTCGTTCGGCAGGATTGTCTTTGCACAGCTTTTTGATGAGAACATTCGCTATCTTGCTGATCTTGCGAGGTATTTCAATGGAATCAATGCCTTTGAGGATGATATTGTATGTCTTCATTGGGTCGGTGCCAGTAAACGGCGGGCTGGAAACAAAGGGCACACATCAAGTAGGTACAATAAGTATAAACAATCCATTGAGTATATCGGATACAATTAAATAATTATGAAGTGAAATACACAACTTGGTAATCGCAAATAATATGTGAACTTGTTGCGCGAAAGATAATGTTCAACATCCAAAACATTATACTTAAACGCAAGTCATGTATACATAATTCGTTTTTGAAGAAAAAAACGTTAGTTTTCTTTGGCATTGATTTGGTTAACTCTGACCTAGCTAATTGTGATACGATCTGAGCTAACATAGTGAATTTGCATGCGATTCCAACTTTAGACAAAGGAAATTTGCATAAGGAATATTGCTGTGTCAATGACTCTAGTATAAATACAGGGATAGTGGCAGTGTAGGAAACCCGAACAAGCCAACCAACTATTTCTTTGAACTGCCTGATTCGCAAATTTCAATGTAAAATGAAATAGTACAATTGTTAATAATATAACACATGATATAAGTTGGCTCATTTTCGCTTGGGTCAAAACATATCATTATCATACGTACGCAACTTCCGCTTGGACGCCTTTGTTTGTCTGGGACACTACGTGTCACTTCCCTCTCGTTATAATTCAACTTTTGCATCACTTACCTCCCCGTAAGAAGTTCAAACATGAGTATTCCGAGTGACCAGTAGTCAGCAGCTCGGTCATGGCCTTTGTTAAGGATGATTTCCGGGGCAACATACTCCGGAGTACCACAGAACGTCCAGGTCTTCCGGCCCGGTGCCATCTTCTTAGCAAACCCAAAGTCAACCTACAAGAACGAATACAATTTGCTCTTTTTGTGAATACAAATATTGAGTTATCTCTTTTGACCATCATCTGCATTCTATTAAAACCCATGAGTCATTCAACTTATGCGTAGGTTCATTTAAATTTATGATGTTTCGGATTTGCATATTTCGCTATATCTTGTTTTCCTCGAATTGGTACATTTTATAACAAGAGTTATAAAGATTTCAATGATTTCGTTACCAATTTCACAATTCCATTAGCGTCCAGCAGTAGATTCTCCGGCTTCAGATCCCGGTAGATGATACCACGATCGTGCAGGAAATGGAATGCTTCTACAACACATGCTACACAGAACCGTGCCGTGGCGTCGTCAAAGTAGCCCCTACAACGGACAGACTTGAAATAATCATCAAGCGAATCGTAGCCATACGATATAATCACATTACGGATACATAAAACTATATCTAATAATCGCACCGGACAGGTCTTAATGCGGAATTGAGACAAGCCTGTCTGTAGAGTAAACTCGTTCCCGTAACGAGACAGGGGAATATTAGAAATGTCACTAGCCGTGCTGGTTAGTTCATGATAGTGTCAAGCGCATTTTAACCTCAGGACAGATACTCTGAAATGCTGTCAACTGATCATGAGATACTGTCTTTTGTCTGTGTGAAAGCAATCACATTAAGGTAAATCAATAAACAGTTAATAAGGTATATATCTGGTAACTCCAACTGTTGGTAAATAAATGAACAGCTAATGTCGTCGGGTTTAATTTCATTCTATACGTAAATATTTAGTTAACCTTTTTAATAGTATTAAGAGACAGTCGAACCATCTGTGCGATCATAAAACTCTAAAATACTACGCTTAATAGTGTGTTTTTTGTTAAAAACATTTTTTTTTTAAAAGATTTGTTACATTACCACATGAAATATTATTTAAAACATATCCCCTAATACGTTGATTAACGAGAACACCAAACCATCTACATTAAGCTTGCCATTATACCTTAGCACGTGCATGATCTATTTAGTTTAATATAAATTGTATATACATGATCATAGCAAACACAAATAACAGTGCCTTTCGGTAGTAACAGATGTATACTTCAAGACCATTTCACTCGCAGTAATCATAAAAACGAATTATGAAAGTGTGTATGGCCCACACATGTGCATAGGTTGTATCAAGCTAGAAATATTGTTCCGTGGAAATGTTCACATGGCGGCACTGTACCTGTCTCGTAGTATAGTCCAGAGCTCCCCTCCTAAACACGCTTCCATCAGCATGTAAACGTACTTCTTGTCTTTAAACGTTTTGTACATCCTACAACAAACAAAACCGATAACTGCACACAAAGACAATCACTTTTAAGTACAGCGTATTTCGTATGAATATAACAGTGAACTGCACACCATGAATATGAGAAATAACAGGAACGTCAAGTCTCATAGACATTCCTCTACAGTTAAAAAGTAATATATACATTCGTATACCACAATATTTCAAACAAAGACGTCTGTTCTGGAATGTCAATGAGTGGGAACATATAACTGTAAATGTACTCTAACGTTTAATTTTTATAACAATGAAGTCATAAATATGACTGTCGTATGATTTATAAGAGTCTTTGTAAAACGGAACGTACAATAATATGTTCTGCTCGGTTTAAATTCATTACAGACAAGCCCACCAGTCGCCTCGAATAAAAGACGACATATGTGTTATGTAATTGTCATTGTATATAAAAACAACTATATATCGTCCGCATTATGTAATCGTCATTATATAAAATGCTATTACAATACCCCGTGTTTTGTCGGGGTGTTTAAAAGACATCACAATAACATCGTTATGTTATCGTCATTGAATAAATTAAACAAACGTTTCTCTTCCCGTGTAATAAGTTCGTCGGTCAATGCGTTTAAATGACGTTACAACTTCCGTGCTATATAATTATCCACATAAAAAAGAACATTACACTACCTGTGCTATGTAATTATCACAAATAAGAACATTACACTACCTGTGCTATATAATTATCCACATAGATAAGAACAGTACACTACCTGTGCTATGTAATTATCCACATAGATAAGAACATTACACTACCTGTGCTATGTAATTATCCACAAAGATAAGAACATTACACTACCGGTGTTATGTAATTATCCACATAGATAAAAACATTACACTACCTGTGCTATGTAATTATCCACATAGATAAGAACATTACACTACCTGTGCTATGTAATTATCCCCATACATAAGAACATTACACTACCTGTGCTATGTAATTGTCCACATAGATAAGAACATTACACTACCTGTGCTATGTAATTATCCACATACATAAGAACATTCCACTACCTGTGCTATGTAATTGTCCACATAGATAAGAACATTACACTACCTGTGTTATGTAATTATCCACATAGATAAGAACATTACACTACCTGTGCTTTGTAATTATCCACATACATAAGCACATTACACTACCTGTGCTATGTTATTGTCCACATAGATAAGAACATTACAATACCTGTGCTATGTAATTATCCACATAGATAAGAACATTACACTACCTGTGCTATGTAATTGTCCTCATACATAAGAACATTACAGTACCTAAACTATGTAATTGTCCACATATATAAGAACATTACACTACCTGTGCTAAGTAATTATCCACATAGATAAGAACATTACACTACCTGTGCTATGTAATTTCCACATAGATAAGAACATTACACTACCTGTGCCATGTAATTATCACAAATAAGAACATTACACTACCTGTGCTATGTAATTTCCACATAGATAAGAACATTACACTACCTGTGTTATGTAATTATCCACATAGCTAAGAACATTACACTACCTGTGCTATGTAATTTCCACATAGATAAGAACATTACACTACCTGTGTTATGTAATTATCCACATAGCTAAGAACATTACACTACCTGTGCTATGTAATTGTCCTCATACATAAGAACATTACAGTACCTAAACTACGTAATTGTCCACATATATAAGAACATTACACTACTGTGCTAAGTAATTATCCACATAGATAAGAACATTACACTACCTGAGCTATGTAATTATCCACATAAATAAGAATATTACACTACCTGTGCTATGTAATTATCCACATAAATAAGAACATTTCACTACCTGTGCTATGTAATTATCCACATAGACAAGAACATTACACTACCTGTGCTATGTAATTACCACAAATAAGAACATTACACTACCTGTGCTATGTAATCCACATAGATAAGAACATTACACTACCTGAACTATGCACTTATCAAAATAACTAAGAACATTACACTACCAGTGTTATGTAATTATCCACATAAATAAGAACATATCACTACCTGTGCTATGCAATTATCCACATAAATAAGAACATTACACTAACTGAGCTATGTACTTATCCACATAAATAAGAACATTACACTACCTGTGTTATGTAATTATCCACATAGCTAAGAACATTACACTACCTGTGCTATGTAATCTACCTGTGCTATGTTATTATCCACATTAATAAGAACATTACACTACCTGTGCTATGTAATTGTCCTCATACATAAGAACATTACAGTACCTAAACTATGTAATTGTCCACATATATAAGAACATTACACTACCTGCGCTACGTAATTATCCACATAGATAAGAACATTACACTACCAGTGCTATGTAGGTATCCACATAGATAAGAACATTACACTACCTGAGCTATGTAATTATCCACATAAATAAGAATATTACACTACCTGTGCTATGTAATTATCCACATAGATAAGCACAGTACACTACCTATGCTATGTAATTATCCACATAGATAAGAACAATACACTACCTGTGTTATGTAATTATCCACATAGCTAAGAACATTACACTACCTGTGCTATGTAATCCACATAGATAAGAACATTACACTACCTGAGCTATGTAATTATCCACATAAATAAGAATATTACACTACCTGTGCTATGTAATTATCCACAGAGATAAGAACATTACACTACCTGTGCTATGCAATTATCCACATAGATAAGAACATAACACTACCAGTGCTTTGTAAGTATCCACATAGATAAGAACATTACACTACCAGTGCTATGTAATTATCCACATAGATAAGAACAGTACACTACCTGTGCTTTGTAATTATCCACATAGATAAGAACATTACACTACCAGTGCTATGTAGGTATCCACATAGATAAGAACATTACACTACCTGAGCTATGTAATTATCCACATAAATAAGAATATTACACTACCTGTGCTATGTAATTATCCACATAAATAAGAACATTACACTAACTGAGCTATGTACTTATCCACATAAATAAGAACATTACACTACCTGTGTTATGTAATTATCCACATAGATACGAACATTACACTACCTGTGCTATGTAATTATCAACATAGATAAGAACATTACACTACCTGTGCTATATAATTATCCACATAGAAAACATCATTACACTACCAATTATCCACATAGATAAGAACATTACACTACCAGTGCTATGTAGGTATCCACATAGATAAGAACATTACACTACCAGTGCTATGTAATTATCCACATAGATAAGAACAGTACACTACCTGTGCTATGTAATCTACCTGTGCTATGTTATTATCCACATTAATAAGAACATTACACTACCTGTGCTATGTAATTATCCACATAGATAAGAACATTACACTACCTGTGCTATATAATTATCCACATAGAAAACATCATTACACTACCTGTGCTATGTCATTATCACAAATAAGAACATTACACTACCTGTGCTATGTAAGTATCCACATAGATAAGAACATTACACTACCTGTGTTATGTAATTATCCACATAGATAAGAACATTACATTACCTGTGCTATGTAATTATCACAAATAAGAACATTACACTACCTGTGCTATGTAATTATCCACATAGATAAGAACAGTACACTACCTGTGCTTTGTAATTATCCACATAAATAAGAACATTACACTACCTGTGCTATATAATTATCCACATAGAAAACATCATTACACTACCTGTGCTATGTCATTATCACAAATAAGAACATTAATAAATAAGAACATTACTACACTACATGTGCTATGTAGGTATCCACATAGATAAGAAAATTACACTACCTGTGCTATGGAATTATCCGCATAGATAAGAACATTACACTCCCTGTGCTAGGTAATTATCACAAATAAAAACATTACACTACCTGTGTTATGTAATTATCCACATAGATAAAAACAGTACACTACCTGTGCTATATAATTATATAGCACAGGTAGTGTACTTTTCTTCTTAATGTGGATAATTACATAGCACATGTAGTGTTATGTTCTTATCTATGTGGTTAATAACATAGCACAGGTAGATTACATAGCACAGGTAGAGTAATGTTCTTATCTATGGGGATAATTATATAGCACAGGTAGTGTACTTTTCTTCTTAATGTGGATAATTACATAACACAGGTAGTGTAATGTTTTTATTTGTGATAATTACATAGCACATGTAGTGTAGTAATGTTCTTATTTATTAATGTTCTTATTTGTGATAATGACATAGCACATTACACTACCTGTGCTATGTAATTATCAACATAGATAAGAACATTACTCTACCTGTGCTATGTAATTATCCACATTAAGAAGAACAGTACACTACCTGTGCTATATAATTATCCACATAGATAAGAACAGTACACTACCTGTGCTATGTAATTATCACAAATAAGAACATTACACTACCTGTGCTATGTTATTATCCAGATTAATGAGAACATTACACTACCTGTACTATGTTATTATCCAGATTAATAAGAACATTACACTACCTGTGCTATGTAATTATCAACATAAATAAGAACATTACACTACCTGTGCTATGTAATTATCCACATAAATAAGAACATTACACTACCTGTGCTTTGTAATTATCCACATAGATAAGAACATTACACTACCTGTGTTATGTAAGTATCCACATAAATAAGAACAGTACACTACCGGTGCTTTGTAATTATCCACATAGATAAGAACAGTACACTACCTGTGCTATGTAATTGTCCACATAAATACGAACATTACACTACATGTGCTATGTAATTATCCACATAAATAAGAACATTACACTACCTGGGCTATGTAATTATCAACATAGATAAGAACATTACACTACCTGTGTTATGTAATTATCCACATAGATAAGAACATTACACTACCTGTGCTATGAAATTATCCATATAAATAAGAACATTACACTACATGTGCTATGTAATTATCCACATGAATAAGAACATTACACTACCTGTGCTATGTAATTATCCACATAAATAAGAACATTACACTACATGTGCTATGTAATTATCCACATGAATAAGAACATTACACTACCTGTGCTATGTAATTATCGACATAGATAAGAACATTACACTACCTGTGCTATGTAATCTACCTGTGCTATGTAATTATCACATAGATAAGAACAGTACACTACCTGTGCTATGTAATTATCCACATAGATAAAAACATTACACTACCTGTGTTTTGTAATTATCCACATAATAAGAACATTACACTACCTGTGCTATGTAATTATCCACATAATAAGAATATTACACTACCTGTGCTATGTAATTATCCACATAAATAAGAACATTACACTACCTGTGCTAAGTAACTGTATTTGTGTGTAAAAAGACGTTACAACAACCGTGTTGTACAGTGGTTTTTTATGTTTATTTTCGATCCCAGTTTTTAGAGAAAAATGTTTCAAAAGAATATAACGCTTACAATGTAAAAACTATGGTAATAACCAAATAAGTTTCATTTTGCATTATTTACAGATGCTATTTTTATCATATGAAAACGCTTACTATGAACATTTTTCATATTTAATTTGATATTCACAAAATAATTTCGAAATATTCATTTCATTACACAGGTAGTACAGCACAAACTATAATACCTTCTGATGATGAACAAGATAGATATCTATATTAGTACACCTGAGTAACATCTCGTCAGGTCATTGTTTACCCGTAAATGTTAAAGATATACAAACGTGTACGTTCCCTCGGTAACTGGTTATTGGTTAAAGTGGCGTATTAGCGGTCAGGCGACAGCAGGTCATACCTTAATAACCACAACCTGTTTATCCTTTCACATCCAGTCCTACATAATCCATTATTCGGTTGATTCTATTGTCCCAATTCGTCGTGTGTACTGCTCGACATTTTATACTTAATACATTTAGTCCAACATGTGTTATTTAGACCTAAATATAGGCCTTTGATGCCCTGAGTAATACTGATGCTGGACCACAAGCCTTTATAAGTAGCTTACGATCGCTATTTGATCTATTGTGCTATAAATATGATGTATGTTCTAGTGGAAAATCAAAGCATGATATGAACCACCATATACAGAACATATACACGGGAGGTTTAGAAATAAAATAAGAAAACATTTCTTCAAAGATCAGTTCATAAATAGTGTGTCAAAAAAGTAGAACAGAATAAAATACCACAACGTCATAAAAAAGACCAGTCTCATTTCTATTGATGAAAAAATAGCTGCAACACACAATGGTTATGACAGGAGAATCTCCTCGTCTTTACCCTCGTCTCTTTACCCTATCTTTATATAACGAGTAAGAGAGGTTTTGTCATTCCCTTACCCTGGACAGGTGTGGATGAAGATATTATTTCCTCCCCCATTAGAAAGTGACATTCACACTTCTGTCAGGTAAAGACAGAGGACAGCGAAATTCCCCTGTCATAACAATTGTATGACGTCATGTCTACAACGCATTGACGTCACGTTAACAATACCCAATCACGGAAGATCACTCCGATTTGCTTGACATTATATAAATCAAAATTAGCCTTTCGTAAAATTACGACTTGTATTTAAAGAGGGAGAAAATTGATAATTTCCCTCTTTATAGATAATGCATGATGACGCATATATCTTGTAGTTGAACATAATGTCAATATGAGGACCATACAATTCTTTTCATTTCTGCGTTTCCCCAGTATCATTTAGTAAGCCCCTAATGGCTAATCCTAATTTCGAAAATCTCGCTTATCAACAGATTGTTTGAATTATCACTTTCACATTTCCGGTGACAAATATTATGCGTTAACTCTTGGGGAATACTTGATATTAAAGAATCATTAATGATGTTGTTAAATGTGAAAACTAACAATCAATCGTTCCATATTGTTTCAACGGAGCTCGTTAATTCCTTATTCCTAAAACTTGTTTCTTAAATATTAATTTAACTCCCTGTCGAATGCTGTTGGCAATTACAAGTTAGCTTAGACATTGCTAATCTCTTACACCTCTATTATCAATAGCTATATACGTTTTTACATCAGGATTTCCCTTTTGCAGGTTTACGGGAGCATCGCGATATTATTTCCCCGGTTTTATCTGTTATGGGCTATGATTGACTCATACATCGTCAAATTACAATCTATATAAACACATGGACTGGTAGCGCATGGTCCAAGTCTATAGGACGTACGCCTGATTGATTTCAGTATTTTCCTATACCCCCTCGTTTAATTACAATAAAAACTGCAATATTAGGATTTCTTTACATAGACGAAATGAACTCAACGATCTTGGTCCATTTTGACCCATTCTTCTTTTATGAGAAAATAACGTACAATCAATGTGACAAGCATTTTACTCCTATTATCAGTTGTTCACAAGTTTAGCCACCATTTACCTGATACAAGGCAATCAATTTTTTTTCTTATTCTAAATATGAATTTATAAAAATGGAAAAAATAAATCCGTAAGAGATAAATCGCTTTAAAATAAAACATATTACCGATATAATTGCGACATGTCTTAAAATTCCACCTGTGCATAAACATTTGCCACAAATCATTCAATACCCTTACGGACAATTTCTTTATACATTTTATTCCTCTGTTATTCGTCACATCTCTTTATGCCTCTTTATGTAAAGGAATAATATACCATTTAGCCGATGCATCAGAAAAAGTCCCGTTTTTAAAACCGAGTAAAAATTATGAAATAACACATCAACGTCGTAAAATAACAACTGATATATTGATAAACTTATATTGATATATTTTCGCCACTTTTACCTCTGTTTTACTGAATAAACGGTTTACAAGTTCCCCAGATAAGACATGCATTTCACTCTCAATGCATCTTTCAACAAAATTTACAATTTCAGCTTACGCCGTAACGGCTCAAAACGGATCGTCTCGGTAAGTAGCGGACTAACAAAATCAATCAACTCATTTTCGCGTTTATGTGCCTCTGATACTTAATGTATAGTTTCCTCGTCATAGTACATTTCCTAGCTTCATATCTAAACGAATCCACTATTTACATCATTTTCTTCTATTTTCATCATAATGATTTTGCCAGAGAATTTTTACATGTTTAAAACACCAAATCTCTTATGGACACATGTATCGCTATACCATAGAATGTTACATGAATTTTCACGCGTACTGTGAATGTCTACACATTTATTGTTAATTTGCGCCGTTATTGTGATACAAAATACATACAACCCGCAGACTTCATCATAGCCTAACTGTTACCAGACTGTTACTGCACAAGCGGAAAGAATATCTAGACACGAGTTACTCGTAATAAACGAAAATTGCATTGCTTAATAGAGCAGATAACTCGATATTTTCAGCAAATCATGCAAAATATGCAAACGACACACACAACTCTCATTGTATACTCTGAAGCAACGTGAGGCTCATAAAAATATCCATTGTTAATATAGCAGATAATTATTTCGTGCCATATCCTCTTAAACTTATTTTATAATAATGATGTTATCTTATTCGGACTGGCTTTCACAAGATATACAACTGCAAGGGCTACTTCATGCTGGAGGTGCGGTATATTGTAAGCGGTATTTCTGAAGTGTACTATTCGTTACATGTACTTACCTTGCGATGAACCCGCAGTTCGACTCCATCATAATCTTCTTTTCAGAATAAATATGTTCCTGTTGTCTTGTGTCCACTATATGTTTTTTCTTAAGGCACTTGAGCGCAAACGTTCTTGTTCGATCGGTCGTTAGTTGTACCTGTTGTTGGTAACGAAACAATACAACATGATGCACTGGCTAAAGCATTGAAGGGATTTCTTTACGGCTGTCCTCCAGCTCAAAAGATGCCTCGGTATAATTTCCATATTTATGTTTTTGCCAAATTTTACATGAAAATCTTTTTTCGTCTTAGAAAATTAAAAAGACACAAATATTTTTTTATTAAGATTGGTATACATTTTTCATTTTGACCAACGGTAATATGAAAACGCTGTTATTTTGCCTGTAGTTTACAACATCCAAAGAATAAAATACATGTTCACACCCTTATACGACCCTTGCTCTTTGACACTATATATATAGGCAAATTATTAAGGCAATATTTGAACAAGAGCAAATTATGGGGCCCGAAATTTCTTTTAACAGAATCCAATACATCACTAATAAATATAAAATTTATTTATTTTACAACAATTATGAAACAAGTTATTTCAACGTATATTAATCACTCTTGTTGGTTCGGATGCTAGCGAACGGGGAGTCTTATTGTGGGTGAAACCGGAGTACCCGGAGAAAACCCACGTGGAAGGGCAGGTGACCCCATACCTTTTCACGGCGGTTCGGAGAATCGATCCACGAGCGCCTAGGTGAAAGCGCGCTATCCACAGCACCACCCGACCACCCTATACATTACTAAGTGTATATCACCTATATTTATATAATTACATACACATTGAACTTATAAAAAACACAAGACTATTTTATCTCCGTTAAAAACTCTGTAGAGCAACTTCGACTTTCACTAAGCTACTCACAAGCTTGTCATGTAAAATATGAAAATTATACCGAAAGTTCGGACAATAAGATAATAAACGGGTATAAACAGGTGGTTTCTGCGACCTGTTTATCATTAATATTTACCAATTCGACACGACCAAATCCTCCCATGCCCAGGGTAGCCACCAGCTCGAGGTGGTCCAATTGGATTTCCTGGTACTCCTTGTCCACCTTCTCCCGCATCGGAGAGAGTGGCATTTCACTCCCATTACCACCACTAGACCTGTCGCAGCAAATAGCAGATTAGAAATTGATACTTTTATAACTTAAAGGTATTTTTATAACTTTATTATTGTAATTATGGATGCCAATCTGGCTTGATAAATTACATTTCATCTTTTAATTTGTTCATTTTCTTAACGAATGTTTGTTCCTTTTATACACAGAACAGCTTCAGTTTGAATACTTAAATGATACTGACAATCACAGACACTATTTTTACTACTATTGCAAAAGCAGGACTTTTCCTCAGCTAGTACCATCTGACTTTAACTTAACGGGCACCATTCTGTACGTGGCACTGACCTCCGATAATGATACAAGTTCGCATTTATACACACTTTACAGACTACATTATGGTCATGTTATATACAGTATAAACGAACCGAACTAGCACATTTTTATCACAAATAATATAATTAAACATTCGCAATACATAAACAGTATACTAATATCGTGTCTGTATCACTCGCTAACCTGTGTTATACATTGACATATTACGTGGCACAATGTAATTGTGTAATACCGATTTTGATTCAAACATGTCCAAAAGTCAAGGTCAATCTCGATATAAGATAGAAACAATGGGACAGGGTTTCAAGACTTATCGAAGTCAGTAAAATGTTATTTTAACAAAACATATTCCTTTGCTCCTGCTGATGTCGTATTGATTAAACAGAGGATAACCAATGGTTAACCGTCGAGTATCATTTATATTTAACAATTGTGTCAGAACAAACACCTTCATGTGTGCGCCAGTCTGAACGACAATACTGAAACAAATCTGCTGTACAAGTGAAATATAAATGACATTCAACAGGTAAGCATAGAGTGTTCTATTTACTTCTAAAACTAATGAAATTGGCCCTTGGTAAACAGCGAGATAGCTTCGTCAAATACTTTTAAATTGTGAGCGGGGACCTCAGATTATAACGTCCGATTGTATTGTATACTGCCTGCTGATATATTAATATGTATTGTCTACTGATGTCGTATTGGTAATATCATGTCTACTGACGTCGTATTGATTATATATTGTCTAGTGATGTCGTATTTATTCTAAATGGTCTACTGATGTGTATTTATCATATATTGTCTACTGATGTCGTATTTATCATATATTGTCTAATGATGTTGTATTTGTCCTATATTGTCTACATATGTCGTATTTATCATATATTGTCTACATAAGTCGTATTTATCATATATTGTCTACATATGTCGTATTGATCATATATTGTCTACATAAGTCGTAACTATCCTATATTGTCTAATGATGTTGTATTTATTATATATTGTCAACGTATTTATCATATATTGTCTACTGATGTTGTATTTATTATATATTGTCAACGTATTTATCATATATTGTCTACTGATGTTGTATTTATCATATATTGTCTAATGATGTTGTATTTATCATATATTGTCTACTGATGTTGTATTTATCATATATTATCTACTGATGTTGTATTTATCATATATTGTCTACTGATGTCGTATTGTTTATCTATTGTCTACTGCTGTCGTATTTGTCACGTTTTGTCTACAGATGTCGCTTTTATCTGATGTCATATGTATCCTTAATGGCCTATTGATGTCGCTTTTATCATATATTATCTACAGATGTCGCTTTCATCTGATACATCGATGTTTATTTACAGCATGCGTGATTTAGAAGTACACCTCATTATTTACATGATTAAGTATATAAGAGTGACGTAAACAGGCAGTCGAGGAACGTTATCATATGAATAAACCATGCAGTAAGATTGAGAAGAAACCATGCCCAGACCAAATGAGTTGAGATTAATTGAGCACCCGAAATGAACGAATTCCAGAAATCAATGATAAAAATAGTATTCGTCCAGATATTAACACATGCTTTCAACAAGAGTGAAGCAACCAAGAAGGAAATGATAGTCAAACTGATGTTCAATCTGCCTGATTACCGTAAGACCACATATGAACAAAAACACTTACTGGGATTGCAGATAAATTCTTGATAAAATAAATGATCATAAATAAAATATATGTTTCAAAATGGTGCAACGACAAAAGTCAAGATAAAACATTATTGCAACAAAGGAAGAGGGTATACCTGCTACATTTAATACATAAACTACACTTACAATATCATAACTTACTATACTAACTACACTTATTATACCACCACTTACTGTACTAACTACACTTACTATACCACCACTTCTGTACTAACTTCATTTACTATAACATCACCTACTGTACTAACTTAACTTACTATACCATCACTTCCTGTATTAACTACACTTACTTTAACATCACTTATTGTACTAACTACACTTACTATGCCATCGATTACTGTATTAACTACACTTACTATACCACCACTTCTGTACTAATTACACTTACTATACCACCACTTCTGTACTAACTTCATTTACTATAACATCAGCTACTGTACTAATTTCACTTACTATACCACCACTTCTGTACTAACTTCATTTACTTTACCATCACCTCTGTACTAACTTCACTTATTATACCACCACTTCTGTACTAACTTCATTTACTATAACATCACCTACTGTACTAACTTCACTTACTATAACATCACCTACTGTATTAACTACACTTACTTTAACATCACCTACTGTACTAACTTCACTTACTATACCATCACTTCCTGTACTAACTACACTTATTATAACATCACCTACTGTACTAACTACACGTTCTATAAAATCACCTACTGTACTAACTACACTTACTATAATATCACTTATTATACTAACTTCACTTATTATAACATCAACTACTGTACTAACTACACTTACTTTACTAACTACACTTACTATACCATCACTTACTGTACTAACTACACTTACTTTAACATCACTTACTGTACTAACTTCACTTACTTTAACATCACTTACTGTATTAACTACACTTACTATAACATCACTTACTATACTAACTACACTTACTATGCCATCACTTACTGTACTAACTACACTTACTTTAACATCACTTACTGTACTATCTACACTTACTATAACATCACCTACTGTACTAACTACACTTACTATAACATCACCTACTGTATTAACTACACTTACTTTAACATCACTTACTGTACTAACTTCACTTACTATACCATCACTTACTATACTAACTTCACTTACTTTAACATCACCTACTGTATTAACTACACTTACTATAACATCACTTACTATACTAACTTCACTTACTATACCATCACCTACTGTACTAACTACACTTACTATACCATCACCTACTGTATTAACTACACTTACTTTAACATCACTTACTGTACTAACTTCACTTAATATGCCATCACTTACTGTACTAACTACACTTACTATAACATCACCTACTATACTAAATACACTCACTATACTATCACTTACTGTACTAACTACACTTACTATAACATCACCTACTATACTAAAAACACTTACTATACCATCACTTACTGTACTAACTTCACTTACTATACAATCACCTACTGTATTAACTACACTTACTATACCATCACTTACTGTACTAACTTCACTTAATATGCCATCATTTACTGTACTAACTACACTTACTTTAACATCACTTACTGTACTAACTACACTTACTATAACATCACCTACTATACCAACTACGCTTACACTTACTATAACATCACCTACTGTATTACCTACACTTACTTTAACATCACTTACTGTACTAACTACACTTACTAGAACATCACCTACTGTACTAACTACACGTACTATAACATCACTCATTTTACTTTAACATCACTTACTATAACATCAACTACTGTACTAACTACACTTACTTTACTGACTACACTTACTATACCACCTCTTACTGTACTAACTTCGCTTACTATAACATCACTTACTATACTAAATACACTCACTATACCATCACTTACTGTACTAACTTCACTTAATATGCCATCATTTACTGTACTAACTACACTTACTTTAACATCACTTACTGTACTAACTACACTTACTAGAACATCACCTACTGTACTAACTACACGTACTATAACATCACTTATTTTACTTTAACATCACTTACTTTAACATCAACTACTGTACTAACTACACTTACTTTACTGACTACACTTACTATACCACCTCTTACTGTACTAACTTCGCTTACTATAACATCACTTACTATACTAAATACACTCACTATACCATCACTTACTGTACTAACTTCACTTACTATAACATCACCTACTGTATTAACTACACTTACTTTAACATCACTTACTGTACTAACTTCACTTAATATGCCATCATTTACTGTACTAACTACACTTACTTTAACATCACTTACTGTACTAACTAAACTTACTATAACATCACCTACTATACTAACTACACTTACACTTACTATAACATCACCTACTGTATTAACTACACTTACCTTAACATCACTTACTGTACTAACTACACTTACTATAACATCACCTACTATACTAACTACACTTACACTTACTATAACATCACCTACTGTATTAACTACACTTACTTTAACATCACTTACTGTACTAACTACACTTACTATAACATCACCTACTGTACTAACTACACGTACTATAACATCACTTATTTTACTTTAACATCACTTACTATAACATCAACTACTGTACTAACTACACTTACTTTACTAACTACACTTACTATACCACCTCTTACTGTACTAACTTCGCTTACTATAACATCACTTACTATACTAAATACACTCACTATACCATCACTTACTGTACTAACTTCACTTACTATAACATCACTTACTATAATAACTACACTGACTATACCATCCCTACTGTACTAACTACACTTACTATACCACCACTTCTGTACTAACTACACTTACTATACCATCCCTACTGTACTAACTACACTTACTATACCACCACTTACTGTACTAACTACACTTATCATAACATCAACTACTGTACTAACTATACTTATCATAACATCAATTACTGTACTCACTACACTTACTATGCCACCATTTGCTGTACTAAATGCACTTACTTGCTGACTTTGCTTATTATAGTTTCAATATATCGTTCTTACTATTCGGTCTTGGCGTATTGCAGAGATATCTTCTCTTGTGAGCAGGTATTGATTGTTACGTCATTGGTTTATGTGAGAAAATTGATGACATTACTCTCATAAACAAATGACGTAACAATCAATATCTGCCCACAAGAGAAGATAACCCTGCATTACAAAAAGACGGAATACGCACTACCCTTATTATTCAGTGCTAATTTGCAATCAATGTACGTTCTAAGTATATACACTGACTATATTTACTGTACAGTACTTACAACATTTTCTACTCTCACGATACAGTGCTTAATACATTTCTACCTTTTTCTACTCTCACGATACAGTGCTTAATACATTTCTACATTTTCTACACGAAATCGCATTCTAACTGATACTAAATCAACCGCTATTTCATTTATTTTATTTAACGAGATGCCATATCGTCCATATCATTCTAGAAGTAATTTCACCAAATCGATCAGGGAAACAGATTTTAGCCTGCCTATAAGGTTCCGATTTCAATATTGTGCCATTAAGGTAATACGGTAATCAGATTACAAGCACCCATGCACGTTCACATCACATTAACCTGTCATGAGCAGCACGTCCCTGGGGCACAGTGTAGAGGAAACAGGTGTCAGACAACGG